TCTCTTTTTTTTCTTTATATTTCTTCTGTTTGTATTTGTTTTGGAGCCACACCTGGCAGCCCTGAGGGCTTACTCCTTTCTCTGCACTTAGGAATCACTCCTGGTGGTGCTCAGGGACCATATAGAATTCCAGGGATTGAGAACCCATCAACCTCATTCAAGGGTAATGCCCTACCCATTGTCTGTCCCTGTAGGACATTTCTAACAAATAGAGAAGAGGACCCAGAGAGATAGCACAGTGGGTAAGGTGTTTACCTTGCATGTAGTAGACTTGAGTCAGTGCCTGGTATTGGATCCGCTGAGGACCCCCAGAAGTGATCCCTGAGTGCAGAGCCAGAAGTTCTGGTTGTTGCCCAGAAACCAAAAATAAATTAAAAAGTAACACTGTACTGCCCTCCTGCTGTTCATCGATTTGCTCGAGCGGGCACCAGTAACGTCCCCATTGTGAGACTTGTTACTGTTTTTGGCATTTTGAATACGCCATGGAGAGCTTGCCAGGCTCTGCCATGCGGGCGGGATACTCTTGGTAGCTTGCCAGGCTCTCCGAGGGGACAGAGGAATCAAACCTGGGTCGGCCACATACAAGGCAAACGTCCTACCCACTGTGCTATCGCTCCAGCCCTAAATTAAAAAGTAGAGAGGATATTGGGGGCTGAAGAGATAGCACAGCGGGTAGGGCGTTTGTTTACCTTGCACACGGCCAACCCGGGTTCGATTCCCAGCATCCCATATGGTCCCATGAGCACCGCCAAGAGTGATTCCTGAGTGCAGAGCCAGGAGTAACCCCTGTGCATCGCCAGGTGTGACCCAAAAAGCAAAAAAAAAAAAAAGAGAGGATATCATTCTATTCATCTATTATTTTGGCCCACATGGTAATGCTCAGGGCTTCCTTCTTGCTCTGTGCTTCTGCATGGCAAGTACTCTGCCTGCTGTAGTATTGCACCAACCCCAGATTCCTCTCTCTCTCTCCCCCCCTTCCTTCTCTCTCCCGCTCCCTCCCTTCCCCCACTCTCTCCATCTCATTCCCTCCCTCCCTCCCTCCCTCCCTCCCATCTTCCTCCCTCCCTCCCCGCTTCCCCCCTCTCCAGCCACATCATTATCACAGCTAAGAAATCACATTCTTTTTCAAGAGGCGTTGAGGGGGGTGTTAGGGTGCTAGCTGGACCTGGCAGTGCTGGGGGTTCCTCCTAGAGGTACTTGGGGAACCATACAGTGTCAGGGCTTTGGGCCACACCCAGCTGAACCCAGCACTTACTCCTGGCTCTGTGCTTTGGGATCATTTCTGGTGGGTCTTGGGGGACCAGATGAGGTACAGGGGTGGGACCCAGGTTTTCTCCTTCCCCATTAGTACAAACTTCGGCCCGTATTCTTTAATGTCTTCAAATACTTCACCAGTATTGCTGATTTGATTGCCTTTTAGTATAACTTTGTGGAGGTAGGGGGGAGCCCACACACCCTGTGATACTTAAGATTATTACTCTTAGTTCTGCACTCCAGAATTATTCCTGGTGGTGCTGGGGTGCAAATGCCTTACCCACTATTTCCCTGGCCCCAGTGTAGTTTTGTTTATTTTTTAAGTCAGACCTTATAAAACAAACCTGGAGTTTGACCATATGTATGTATCATGCCTCCTTTGTGTTGAAGGAGTCAGACTGCTTAGAGGTTTCTTACTTCACAGAACCTGTTGCTTTCTTCTGCTCTTATTTGCTTTTTGTTTGGTGATAAGATCACATCTGGTTTTGTTGTTTGTTTTGTGAGACCATATGCTTTTTGAAGTGTTTATTTCTGACCGAAAACTCCTAGTTGATTCCCTCTTCCCCCTTTGGTTATCACATCTTTTTTTCCCCCCCAGTCAAGCATTATTTATTGAGACTGTTTAGAATTTTGAAATTTATAGCGGTAAAATGTCTGTACCCCTCTGTTGTTACTTGTCAATCTCAATATAGTTGTGAATATATTGAGATGTCAATATTGACATATCGACATCAGTATGTCAATAGTGGTGAAATGTTTACATGCGTTCAGGGCTTACTCCTGGCTCTGTGCTCAGGAATTACTATTGGCAGGCTCGGGGGACCATAGGGAGTGCTGGGATTGAACCTAGATCAGCCACATATTTATAAGGCAAGCTCCCGACCTGCTATACTATTGCTCCGGCCCCTGTCGTGTCTTTCTTTTCTGGACTTGATGTTTTTGTGAGAATTTGTTTAACAACTTGTCAGTTTTGTGAAAACTTTATTGGTTCACGTGGTGAGCCCTGCATTTTTACTTTAGCATTGCTTGCAGAGGGAGTAGGGTTGTAGAAGTGGTTCTTTGCTCACGAGGTTTAAGAATCATTTTCTAAGAGTGGAGTTATAGGGCAAGGGATTAACCATGGGATTTGTTGTGCATGAAGCCATTCTCGGTTCAGTGCCCAGAACTGCATAAGATTCTCCTGAGTACCACCATGTGTGCTCAGCACCGCCCTCCTCCATCCCCCTCCCCTTCTAGGTTTCTGATCACAGATGTCCAAGTGAAAACTCAGTTTCCTCCATAAAGGTTAAGTGTATCTGTCACCTTTGGTTCCCCCCAGTCTGCTTTTCCAGAGGAGCGTCATTGTTATTTCCCTGACTAGAAAGAAGACTCGGTCCTGCACTCGCTGAGTGGCCCAGGAAAGATGGAAGTTGGTGCTTAGTAAATTGGCCTTGCATTTGCTCTACACTTTGGAAATCATTGTCCTGGGAACTGATTTGTTTCATGGGTTCTGTCATTTACCTTTCCTCATTGCCTAAGGATTGTTCCTGGGAACGCTCGCAGGCCCAGACAGTGCTGGAGCTGTGACTAGGCCTCTCTAGCAAAGCTTGTGCTCCAGCCATTGCTCTGTCTCACTGGCCTGATTTTGGGCTGCGTGACTAAGAATGTATTTTTGATTTTATTGCCTTTTGGTGGCCACATGCAGTTGTGCTCAGGGATCATTTTTGATTGTGCTCTGGGGTGGCTTCTAGTGGTCTTTGGGGGACCTTAGCAGTGCCAGGTATTGAACCGGGGCTGGCCACATAACAGAGCCAGCGCCATCCCCCAATACTGTCGCCCCAGCCCCCACAATAATGTGCTTTGAGAGTAGATAGTCTGTCATTCTCAGAACATTAACAAGCAGATCATCATGAATGGAGAGTGCCATCATATTATAGAAATCGAAAACTTAGTGCCAGAGAGATAGAACAACAGAGAGGCATTTGCCTTTAATGCTGCTCACCTGGGTTTGATCCCTAGCCCCACCCTGAGCAATGCCAGGAGTAAGTCCTAGGCACTGCTGGGTGTGACCCCCAAACAAAACAAAAAATGAAAAAGCTCACCCATTTACTTCTGAGCTCCTGACCACAGGGTGTGTTTCCGGAAGAGCTTATGGAGTACCGATTTGAATCTAGCTCTTGTTGAAGCCCTAGACTTGTGAAGAGTAGTTGGATCTGGAGTGCGAGGGACCTGGTTTCGTGTCTTCCTTCTGGGCTCTCATTTCTGGTTGCCTTTGGAGAGAGCCCTGTGGTTTGTGTGAAATTCATCGTCTGTGTGAGCTTTGCAGTGCTTGGTGCCCTGTCCAGTTTCTTTTCAGGTTCTGGTGCAAGGGTGTTAAAGATTCTTTTGAACTAACAACATTTTTTTCCCTGACAGTTGTCCTTGAGCAATATATGTGTATTACATACATTTATATATTCATTTGCATGGCAGACCCTGGCAAGCTACCCGTGGCGTATTCGATATGCCAAAAGCAGTAACAGTAATGGCCTTATTCCCCTGATCCTGAGAGAGCCCCCAATACGGCAGTGTTGGGAAAGACAAGTACGGAGTGGCTGCTAAAATCTCAGGGTTAGGTTGAATGAGACGTTACTGGCACCCGCTCGAGTAAATTGATGAACAACAGGATGACAGTGATAGTGATATATTCATTTGCATACATACATATTATACACGTATGCATAATACATGTATGTATGTCATATTATATATATACATGTGTATTGCATATGTTTCAGGTTCATCAAATCTTAAAAATGTGCTTCTATTAATTTTGAAATTTACTGGCTTTTTGAAAAGAATATTCTAGACATTATTGGACTTGTATAAGTGGGAACATGCTAGATTATCATTACGTTCACCAAATTGTTGTGAAGAAGAAACTTTTTAAAAAATTTAAAAATTATGTTTTTGGGCCACATCTGGCAGTGCTAAGGGTTTATTCCTAATTCTGTGCTCAGGGGTCACTTCTGGTGGGGCTTGGGAGACCATATCGGATACTAGGGGTAAAATGTGGATTAGTGAAGTCAGGGCAAGTGTCTTAACCCTTTTGCTATCTCTCTACCCCTTAAGAATGATTTTATGTAGTTTGGTTTCGGGGTCACACCCAGTATTGCTCAGGGGTTGTTCCTGGCTCTCTATTCTTGTTGGTGCTCAGGGGACCATATGGGATGGTGGGGATCGAACCTGGTTCAGCGACATGAAAGGCAAGTGCCCTATTGCTGCATTCTCTCTTCAGCCTTTAGAAACTTGTTTTTAAAGAGAACGGTTGTTGGAGCTGGGAGTTGGAGTTGTTGGTTGTTGGAGTTCAGATGGCTGTGTGCCTTGTGATGCACTGTTTGATATCTGGCTGTGTATGTCTGGATATGACTCTGGTGGCCTTCTGCTAAAACAAAATAGGAAAATATATGTGGGAATAGAGGGCACACAGAGTACGTGCTTTGCATGCCAGAGGCCTGAATTTGGTCCCCAGAATATGGTCTCCTGAGCATTTCCAGAAGTTCTCTTCCCAGGACAGAGCCATATGTGGACCCGAAACCAAACAAAACTGAGAAAGTGTTATTTCTTGGGTTTGTAAGATATTCATAAAGGCAAATTATTCGGACTCCAGAGAGATTAGATACAAGTCTTGGGAAACTTGAGAATTTTAAGACGTCTTAGTACTCATTTTAAGAATCAGTTATGGACTATACTCTGTTTACCTGCCCACTTTCTTTGCCCTTTCACAGCATCTCACAGCAAGCGTCCAACTTCTCCCAGTGTAGCCACAGAGTAAACGGCCCATGACTTCTGATCAGGACGCTAAGGTGGTGGCTGAACCGCAGGGCCAGCGTGTCCAGGAAGGGAAAGGCGGGGCTCATCTGGTGAGTATGCATCCCGGTACGCAACTCATGAGTTGCCAGCACCTCTTTCTCCTGATCCAAAATTTTGCTTTGGATTTGAAAAGTCAAAAGTCACAAGTCAGATTGTACCACCTATGTAAAAGTACTTAGTGAATGTGTGAATAACTTAGTAGAAGCAGCTCGGGATATTCAACAATAGAGAAAACAGTGGTAGAAATAGCTCTAGGTTGTTTAAACTCGTAGAAAGTGCATTGATTTATCACAGTGCTGTATCTTTGAATAACTAATTAGGATTTGAATATTTTTTTAATTGCATTTTAAGATTTCACCATGTCAAGCAGTAATTTTTTTGCGGGGTGGGGGGGCTTTTTGGGTCATACCCGGTGATGCATAGTGGTTACTCCTGGCTCATGCACTCAGGAATTACTTCTGACAGTGTTTGGGGGACCATATGGCATGCTGGGATTCAAACCTGGGTCGGCTGTGTGCAAGGCAGACACCCTATCCGCTGTGCTATCGCTCCACCCCCAAGCAGTAATATTTAAATTTCTGTGTGACTGGGGAAATAGACAAGATCTTTTACTATGTTTAGTCAGAATTTAAAATATAAGTTTACCATATCATTCTGAATATTTTGCTGATTTTCTTGTTTCTGAATACATCACTTAAATTTGTCACAGAATGTACTCTCCTTAGTGCTTTTTTTTTTTTAATTTCTATGATTTGAAAACATGTTTCTTAACATTGTAGTGATGGTATGTTTCATGTTTTCAATTTTACAGATGAATGGTCCCATATCTCAAACTACTTCTCAGACAAGTTCCATCCCAGCTTTGAGTCAGGTAATTGATTTTATTATTAACTACAGCAGGGCTGTAGTTTTTTTCCTTAAAAAGGATTGGGGGGAGTTAGTGGGGTTTAATGATGGCAATATTGCAGTACCATTCCTCCTTCTCAGTGTGGGTGCACCATGTGTGATCATTTATTTACTTATTATTGGTGAAGGAAGATAGAAACATGTGCGGGGAGAGAAAGAGAGAAGTGCATGTATAGGAAAGAGCACAGGATTCTCCTGATTGGAAATAGGCAAGCAGAGACACACAGGGACAAGCAAGTGAGAAATGTGTTCAAGGGAGAATCAGGCTTGAAGAGCAAACCCTGTGGTAATTCAGTGTCAGCTCTTTGTCACGGTATTTTTCATGACTTGCTGGTAGTCTTTTATGTTTATGTGATTAGGTTTAGGTTTGATTGCTTGTATTCTTTTAAGCACAGAAGTTATAGTGAACTGCTGCTACGAAGGAATTTGGTTTCACATTTCAGTTGTGATTAATGAGGGATAAGGACCTGGAGATACATTGGTTTTCAGTTCTGCTTTACATTGTTCGTGTATGTGTATGCAAGGTTCATCTGGAGCCACTCCAGATTTAAACTGGTAGTCTTCAGTGAGAACTCATAAACCTTAAGATGTAAAGAGTAAACCTTGTATGATGAGTAGTGCGCTTGCCTTGCACAGGGCTGAGCGGGTGCAATATCTGGACCCTATATGGTCCCCTGAGGACTGCCAGGAGTGATCCCTGAGCGAAGAGCTGGGAGTGGGCCTTGAGCACCACCACATGTGGCGTAAAGGTTATAAGCAATTCATATAAAACTTCAAGGAGTAGGGTTGGATTGTTGATCTACTTTTAACAAGGTAGTTTTGTATTTTTAGGTGGGTTTTTTTTTTTTTTTTTTTTTTTTTTTTTGTCAGATCTGGTAATGCTCTGCTCAGAGGTTACTCTTGGTTCTGCACTCAGGAATCACTTTTGGCAATGCTTAGAGCACCGTATGGGATGCCGAGATCAAACCTGGGTCAGTCCTATGTATGTGAAGTGTCTTGCTTTTTGTGCCATATCTCCAGCCCTGAGATAGCTTTTTATTTATCATGTGGTTTTGGTATTTTGGGTCCACACCCAGCAATGCAATGCTCAGGGGTTGCTCCTGGCTCTGCACTCATGACAGTGCTGTGGGCGCCAGGGGGAGGGGGATGGACAGTGACCATACGGGATACTGGGCATGGACCCTGGGTCGGTGCCAGCAGGCAAATGCCCTACTGATTATACTATCTCTGCTGCCCCATAGTAGCATTATTTTGTTTGGGGGCCTTACCTGGCAGTGCTCGTAGCTTGCTCAGTGCTCTGTTTTCAGGGGTCACTTCTGACTGTTTTGAGGGGACCATATGTGGTGGTGGGGATCAAACTGGGATTAGCCACATGCAAGGCAAGCACCTTAACCCCCTGTAGTAGTACCCCCTGGCTCCTAACATGGTAGCATTAAACAAAATAAACGCCTCTCCATGTATTGCTGCCGAGCACACATGGTGCCCAAACTCTTGTGTTGCCCACATCTCCCCTCTTGAGATGTGGGCTTTCATTCTTTCATATCTAATGCTGGGATATGTACTGGAACTTCCTCTCCACTCTGGAGAAGCCCACATTCTCTCTTGTGTGCCTTATTCTCTTATTTTCTCTCTCAGCCCCTTTCCTCCCTCTCTCCTTTTCCTCAGAACTTTCAAATAAAATCTGGTATATTTAAAAAAAATGCCCCCCTCCTCAATGATACGTCATTACTATTATTGTTCTATTATCTGTATAGCTTTCTTTGCTGATATTATTATCATTATTATTTTTGTGTGTGTGTGCCACTCCCAGATGGGCTCAGGGACTTATTCTTGGTGGGAATCCAACCTAGTCAGCTGCAAGACAGTGCCTTCCTTACCTACTCTCTCTAGCCAGTAGTTTAGATTTATTGATTTGTTGTTGTTGTTTTGGCAACACATTTGGCTCTGCTCAGGGCTTATTCCTTGATCTGTGCATAGATCATTCCTGGCAGGATTCAGGAGGCCCTGTGAGGTGCTGGGAGTTGAACCTGGGTTGGCTGCATGCAAGGCAAACAATGCCCCTACCCACTATATTATCACTTTGACCCTAGTTTACATTATTTTAAATTAAAAAAAAAATTTTTTTTTCCACATCCGTGCTTATGGATTACTCCTGCTCTGTGCTCAGAGATCACTCCTTGTGGGCTGGGTGGGGCCAGGGGACCATAGGGGTGCTAGGAAATCAAACCTGGGTCTGCCCTGTCCAAGGCAAATGCCATACCCACACTGTACTGTCTCTCTGGAATCTCTCTATGTTATTATTATTTTTTTTAATAAATTTTGTTTTAGAGTTTTGGATTCTGCAGTGCTTGGGAGCTGCTCTTTGCAGAGTTTGTGGGTGGGCCAGACCATGTGTTGCTAGGGCCTCCTGAAGGCAGAGCATAATCCCAACCCATTCATCTCTTTGGTCAAGTACTTCATAATTTAAAACTACTATAAGGCATCTAGTAGTCTGAAGAAAATTACTCAGAAATCATTGAAGGATTTTTTTTTAAATTTTGTTTTTAATACAAATTTTCCTTTTTTCCATTGTTGGTTTGCAGTCCAACATAATATCAAAAGTCAGCCTCTTGAAGGGCATAGAATTAGATTTTGGGTTCTCTGGTTGTGTTTGCTAGCTTTGAATACTTAGTAGGTAACAGACATGGATTATTTAGAAAAGAACTGAAACACTTTTACAAGAATGTGACACTTCATGATAGTTGACTCAAGTGCTACTTGCACAGAATTTGTCATTTTCAAGGATAATCATTTCAAAACTGAGTGTACATGGCAACTTCTTTTCCAGCCTGGCCACTAGGCCCCACGGTAGATCCTTTCTGGCACCAGGATTTTGAAAGCTGGCTATAACATTTACCAGTTTTGCAAAGGTTGTTTTCTTGTGGATATTCACAAGCTGGTATACCATGAGAGATCATCAGACTCGTATGTCCACTAAAACAGTTTTTGCAAATTTAAGCATCTTCATAGAAAAAAAAAAAGGCTTTGTTAGGACATTTGCATGTAGTTATCATCAATGTGTAGATATTTTATTTTCTTTTTTTCTCACTTACCATGATTTAATCTATAATGAATCATTTATATCCCATTTTCTTAACTTGCCATGCTTTCTCTCTGTTGATAGGTCATCATTTCCTAGCATTCAATTTTGGGGGTGTTGACTTACTTTTCTCTTGTAAGTGGCCTTTTCTGCAGAATTTTCTGACTGTTGGTGTTAGTGGCACATTCCTTAACCAGTGTTGTTTTTTGGTATTTTTTTCCTGTCCCTTTAAATCTTTATTTTTCCTGTACAGTAGGGACTGGGAGAAGTGTAGAGGGTAGAAAATAAGCTTACACTGTAAATGACACAAAAGCTCCAAAGAGAACTGTATAACATTTCTGTTTTGCTATTTCATGATTGATTAACCTTTTTTTAAAAATTATTAATTTACTATTTATTATTTTTTATTTTTTCATTTTTTATCATTTTATTTATTGAATCACTGTGAGAGCAGTTACAAAGCTTTTGGGTCTAAGTCTCGGTCATACAATGAAACACCCGTACCTTCACCAGTGCCCATTCTCCACCCCCAACAACCCCAGTATACCCCCATCCCACACCCTCCCCCTACCTGTGGGGCAGATGATTTCCACATTACTATCTCTCTACTTTGATCACATTCAATATTTTGACACCAGACTCACCATTATTATTTGAAATTTTACCCCAACACTCAGATCTGCTGCAAAGGCAACAGTAGACAATTTTTTTTCTATTGCTAGTTATGAATAACATATGATGTTGCGTGGCTGCAGTAGTGGCCGTGCGATTTTGAAATTCCGAAATTTTAACACTTAAATCTGGAGCGATTTCTGCCAAAACCTGCTGGGTTCCGAGATTTGCTCCTGAGTCTCTGGGGTCATGGCCATTAAGCAGCTTGATCAGGAACCAGAGAGGCCGTTCGTGGGCGATGACTTGGGTTCTTGTTGGGGTGGGAAGGACAGGACCGGCTCCACCCCCATCCCGTGAGGTCCAAAATATCTTGTCACTGTGGGCCCAAACCCAACTGTCCAATGGCCTCTGGAAGATGACGGCCACTGAGCCGCCAGGGGGAAGCAAGTGGAGGGACAACACCCTTTCCCCCCCGGGGTGTCCTGGCGACAGTAACCTACTGTGTGGTCTGGACACATTTCTGCCAAAAGCCGCTGGGTTTCGAGATTTGTTTCTGAGTCTCTGGGATCATGGCCATTAAGCAGCTTGATCAGGACCCAGAGAGGCCGTTCGTGGGCAATGAGTTGGGGTCTCATTGGGGTGGGGAAGACACAACTGGCTCCACCCCCATCCTGTGAGGCCCTGCGTGTCTTGTCACTACGGACCCAAACCTGACTCTCCAGTGTTCTCTGGAGGATGGTGGCCACCAGGCTGCCAGGGGGAACAGGCCAAGGCATGAAACCTATTCCCACCTGGGTTGGCCCAGCGCTGGTAACCTACTGCAGGGACCAGATGTATTTCTGCCAAAAGCCGCAGGGTTTCAAGATTTGTTTCTGAGTCTCTGGGATCATGGCCATTAAACAGTTCAATCAGGAACCAGAGAGGCCATGCCTCCAATTATATAGCTGAGTGGGAGGTGGTTTGTGGGTGTGTTTCCCACATACCTAATTTTGGCCGTTTACTTTCTTGGTAAACTTTGCCCCAAGTTTTTGGGATCTGGCCAAACGCACAACAGCAATTTTGGAGTATCTGGAAGTCTGAAGGCGCCATCAGGCTGCTAATGCACTTGCCTCACAGGTACAGATTGACCTGCTGGTGGCACCATACCCCCTTATTATTATTTTTTTAATTTATTTTTTGTAATGGATCCCTGTGAGGTGCAGTTACAGACTTATAAACTTTCGTGGTTATGTTTCAGTCATACAATATTCGAGTACCCATCCTTCCACTAGTGC